AAGATACTTGCAAAACATAGAATACAAACGTGGGGAACGCGTTAGCTTAAAAAATATACAAGGATATAGAAGGCAACCCAGTGCACGAAGGCATCCTCGCAAGGCGAAAAAAAAAGGATATATTTATAATTATTTTCCCTTATATGTATACATGGTTTTTATATTATATATATGTGTGTGCTAGTGTGCATATTTTTATATAGCTTTGCTTAATAGCCAAAAATCAATGTTCTAAATTGCGCATTGCGAAGTTGAGGCGTTTTTTTCCAAGGCGTATTGTGTAAGCCTCATTGTGCATTGAGGCGTAAATCTTAATGCGTAGGAAAACTTTTTTATATAAAAATTTATGACTAAAAAGAAATAAAAATTCATTCAAAATAACATATTTAATTACCAAGGGAAGAATAATTGTCAAGGTGGTTGCACCATGAAAATACGGTACGGTTCCCCACTACCGCATATGGCAGCACCATAATTGTCACAGCACCAAGGCGAGTCACGGCACCAGCCGACCGCCATGTAGCCTAGGCAACAAGGCCCCGTCTAGGCTATAATTAGGAGACTAGTCGCACAATACATAAATTTATAATATTATATATATACACATAATTATATACTCCTTCCGTCCCGTAAAATAGTTCCCGCATTGACTCGGATCGGAGTTTAAGAAAGTGGTAATAAAGTAGAAATGTATGGTTGTGGTTGAGTAAGAAATACGTAAATGAATGTAAGCCACACAAAAATTTCCAAAAAGGGAAATGAAAACTATTTTTTGGGACGGCCCAAAAAGGAAACGGGGAACTATTTTGTGGGACGGAGAGAGTATATAATTATATACTCCATCTGTATTTTAAAGTTTGCTAGAATTTCCTTTTTAGGACGTATTTAAAAGGTTGCTAAACTTTCCCTTTTTGGTAAGCTTTCCTTTAAAAATACTCAATTACCCTTACTTTTTCTACTTTTTATCTTATCTTTCATACTTTTTCACTATCTCTCCTACTTTTTCTACACTATTCATCACCCCTACTATTTCATCCTTAAATAATGTGCCAAAGCCTAATGTAGCAATCTTTAAAATTTTAAAATCCGGAAGGGAGTATAATATTCTATTTAACTATATTTAATTTGTAAGTTATTATAGTTAAATAGAGTATGGCTTTGGAGAGAGCAAAGTGGAGGGCGCACGTCGTGTGGACGATTGATCTCTTTTCTATCTTTCCTCTCTCTTTTTCTTTTATCGTTTATCTTCTTTATCTTTTTATGTTCTAATGTTAGTTTTATCTTCTAGCTTTTTTATGCTCTCTTATCTTTTTATCTTTCTTATATTCTTATGTTATTTTTATCTTATATTTATTTACCTTCATCTTATCCATTTTATCTTACTTTCTTCTTCTTGCCTGTCTTCTCTTTTTGGCATCATATCATGGATCGATTCATGTTAGCTGATCTCAATATCTTTTGGGATTAAGGCTTGGATGTTGTTGTTGTATTACCTAGAAATGGAACAAACAATTAATAATTGAAAACAAGGTTTATTAATGGGAATTAAGAGTAAAAATGTCTGTGTTTGGCCATAGTAATCTTCAATTGTATATGATACGTAGTATATAATATACTCTGTAACATATTACTACATAATTACATATATATATAGAGAGAGAGAAATATTCAGGTCCGGAATTCCAGACCAGAGCCGCCGTCCGGACGGCGGCGTTTCGGCGTCTTCCCGGTTGACTTTTTTGATGAAATTTTTACGGCGTGTTCTTCATCAAGTCTAGTTTATCCACACAAAAGTTCAGCTAAATTTCAATCGGGAAGGTCGTCAAATAGTTTTTGGAAATTAACTGCATTTTATATGTATATTCCAGAGCAGTTATCTTTCAAAAAGCATATGATGGCCTTCCCGATTGAATTTTTAGCTGAAATTTTTTGTGAATAAACTAGACTTGATGAAGCACATGCCATAAAAATTTCATCAAAAAATTTCACCCGGAAGGGCACCAAACGTCGCTGTCCAGACGGCGGTTCCGGTCAGGAATTGCTGACCGGAAGAGTACTCATATATATATATATATATATATATATATATATATATATATATATAAGATTTACTTTGCCTCCCACTCAGCCACTCCCTACTCCCAAAAAAGCATAAACTTGTCTACTTGCAGTATTAGATAAGGTAGTAGGTACACATACTGCTAGAAGAAAAAGTATGTTCAGACAATTCTCAGTTGCTCATATGCGGGCAGGATATTCTACTGCTAGAAGAAACAGAAAGAACGAGCAACTAAAAATTAAGAAAAAGCACCGGATCAACCCATAAAACCTGGGAATGACACTAGATGTTTGACTTCTTTCCTGCGAGGCTGCGACTAGAATTGTATGGGGCGCCGGTATTGCCTTCAGTAGTTCAGAATTCAGAGCAGTAGTTCGACCAGCAAAGATTGGGTTTACGAATGGTCAAGTAAAACTTGGGCTTTATTTGAAGTCCTAAACTCCTAACTAAATCTGGGCCTTTGGTTTGGGCTATGAAAGATTACTCTATGATTAATTTGCTATTTATGCTTCAGTCTGGCGAACGCCTTGTTGCCAAACCGATGACCGGACAACGATAGGAGCACGCCATGGTCGCCTATTCCTCTTCCGGCGAGGCGATGGCTCATGGCGGCCCCTCCCCAGCGACTGGATGCCTAGGTGACGCCGTAACAACTATGGGCAGCACTTCCACAGCCAAAAACCAGACTGCTTGCCCTTGCCTCCATATCTTTTATTGTTGCCAGGACACCCTCCAACCCTTCAAACAGTTCTCTTGCCATAGGATTCGCCATTAGAAGAGCAGCCACAGCCAGCTCCCTTGACGTTAGCAAATTTGCTGCCACTGCCAAAAAAAACTAACGCTACCACCAGCTCCTTTTTTCGGACAGCAGTTAGCACTGGATGAGTCATATATACCAATACCCAAGATCACCTGAACATTGGTTTTAATTTCGGATCACGTAAACAACACAACGCCTTTTGCAATAGCAGCGGAGAAAGTGAGACACTGAATCCTGCACGGCACGTGCATCTGAGGTCGCAAACCACTGGAAGAATTCACAAGAAAGGATGCACTTTTCTGTAGCAACACTTCAATGTCGCAGAACCTCATATTTGAGACTATTATGTTACATAATTGTCCTCTCTGTAATTTGCATGGGAAAGCACCCAACATGCAGTAGTGGGAAGATTTAATTGGCCCATTCTGGATCAATGCTCATACTTTATCTCTATTCTCGCTGGATTAGCACAAGCCTTAAGAAAATTTCTAGAAAATTTCTTATAGACAACGTGATAGATGATGTTTTGTGGCAACAGTGGCATACCATTCGATCTCGGAAACGTTTGGCATAACAAGTTACTCCTTTTCAAACTTGGGATAAGCTTGATGTCTACTGAGTGTGGAACCACAGAGGCCTTTTATACACCTTTTGCGTGAAGACCTTGTCTATGACCTGTCAGAGTGCCAGCTCACCATGATACAGCTGCGCAAAAGGCCTACTCATGACAAAACTATTTCTGGCAGAAAATCTCTCTACCACTTTCCTATTTTCATATATTTTGGTTCCTGCTTGAGTGTTCAGAAGTAGCTTTCCTAAAAGACTACGAGTGTCTATTTTTTAATCAGCAATGTTGGTTCTGAAATCAAACCAAAATAACTCGAAAACGTAGGAGACACCACGTTTTTCTGTTTTTTTTCCCAAACTTTAAAAATAGATGGACAGCTCGATTTAAAATTAAAGGATGCAGAAAGCACAAAACAATGTTACCACAAGGCCAAACTTGAGTATTCAGTCATAACCACAAGGCCCATTCTGGATCGATGGCATACTTTATCTCTATTATCGTTGGTTTAGCGCGAGCCCTAAGAAAATTTCTCATAGACAATGTGATAGATGATGTTTTTTTAAAAGTTTGGCATTGACAATTTCTCATAGACAATTTGATCTCAAAAAAGTTTGGCATAACAAGTTACTCCTTTTCAAGCTTGAGGACAAGATTGATGCCCACAAGGTAAGTAATAATACATGCATATCTCATGATAGAGCTGCGCAATAGGCCACACTTGAAGGATTTTTTATGTCCATGCTCAAAGGACCTGGTGTTAATACCTTTTAATGCCTATAAACGGCCACCAAGATTCAATGATATCGACTCGCTATTATGAGATATGGAAAGTATTATTACACCTTGTGGCTTTTTGCACCGCTCTATCATGAGATCATTCATTTTCATTTACCCCGGTGCCTCAAAGGCTCCCACCTACGGTGGGGTAAGGGGGGGTCGGATGTACGCAGTCTTACCCCTGTACTAAAGCACAGAGAGACTGTTTCCGGATGACCCATAGTGAAAATCCCGTCCAAAATTGCATGGACTGACTGCTGCTTCATGACAAAGAAGCGCAAACAGTTTAGTGAGCCATTTTGCTTTATTCCATCATAATGTCAAGCCAAAAAATAATGAATCTTTGGCTCCATTACAAATGATGGAACACCGCTCTATCATGAGATATGCGTCATTATTACTTCCCTCATGGACATCAAGCTTGTCCCCAAGCTTGAAAAGTAGTAACTTGTAATGCCAAACTTTTCCGAGATCAAATGGTATGTTAAATAAACATAATCTATCAAATTGTCTCTAAGAAATTTTCTCAAGGCTTGCGCTAACCCAAAGAGAATAGAGATGAAGTATGAGTATTGATTCAGAATGATATTAAACATCATATATCACATTGATTCATACTTGAGTGTTCACTCCTATAGTTATTCCTTAGAGTCTTCACAAGGTCGCACGCCACCTTCACTTGTCTAGGGCAGAGAAGTGTTTTATCTTGATTTTAATATATTCCTTGTCATCTCCCAAGTCCCAACCACACTCATACATCCACGTGTAATCCTATTATGTACGGAGTATATTTTAAAACCCCAAAAAGAGGTAAAAATGCAACACAAAATACTCACAATTGCATCTTGTGATTCAGGATAAGGAAGAGCAGCAAGTTGCAAGCTTTGCTGCATCTCCAATCTAAACTGTGCATTTCTAAACATATAGCCCGTCATCATAACACTATACATAAGTTGTGCAAGATTTTCTGCAACCTGAGAAAAAAATGAATTGCAACACAAATTATTAAACGTCTGAGTCAATTCTAATAATTTTCCATACTTAAAACACAAAAGCTTGAGGGAGAATACAAAAGCTTGAGGGAGAATACAAAAGCTTGAGGGAGAATACAAAAGGTTGAGAGAGAATACAATCACATACAGTGGTTACAGTGACAGAGAAAAACTGTGGAGGTAGTGTTCCCATCATATTTGTTACTGTTTGGCGCATTGCTTCCACTACCTTTCACGACATCATCAATAGGAACAGTTTAGTTTTCACACATTGTTTGGCAACAACTAATAGCCACACAGCAAACATAAAACAGCAGGGTTCTGGGTTTAGTGCTCATTTGCTAAGAGTTATTTGGCAGAAATTGGTTGACTCTCCTCAATTTCTAAAGAAAATCCACTTCGTAACACCCGACTCAGCCAGATAAGTAAAAAAACTACTCAAGTCCTGTTTAGTAGCAGTAATCAGCTTATTCTGCAGATTTAGCTAAAAATCAAAATAAGTAGATTTTGACTCATTTGTTTGGCAGAGCTGCAGGAGTGGATGCTACAATAGGCTTTTCCTCTCAGAACGTATCAATCCATTTCAGGCAAATGACTCTTACCAAAACGGGCCCTTATTCTGCATATTTTGTTGTTAAGCAGAATATGGTTAGCTAAAACTCAAAATAAGTAGATTTTGAATAATTTATTTGGTAGAACTGCAGGAGTGGATGCTACAAGAGGCTTTTCCTCTCAGAACAGATTAATCCATTTCAGGCAAATGACTCTTAACATAACTAGCCCTTATTCTGCATATTTTGTGGTTAAGCAGAATATGCCACGTTTTACTAACAAAACAGAGCCTTGGCCTGTATATACATTATCCAAGCTCAGCTCACCCATTAGAGGTGGGCCAATGACATGGCGCCACTAGAAACGTAATAGGCTAGCGCACACCTCTGATAATTCAAATGACATCACGTCACTGATGCATGGTGTCACCTTGAATAGCATAGACTTCATTTAAAGAAACCGCAAATAGTACCTGTTGAGGGGCTCGTTTGATGAAGAATTCCATAAAATCAGGCTGCACATTTTGCACATACTCTAGCAATATATCCTTCCTGCTCTTGTGCTGCAAATGTGCAAAATTCACATTTTCGTACTCAAACATGTAAATTGATGGCTTCATGAATTCAAAATAGCAACAACTTTTTACTTGGGGTTAAATGGAACAAATCCTTTCGTGGTATATAAATTATGCGCATTAGCCCTCGTGATTTAAAAAACTTCAAACCCTCGTGTTATATAACAGCATGCACAAAACATCACCCTGAAAAAACAAATTTAACAATCACATAAAACAAAATGTTTGGTATTTGTGTGTAGTTTAAAAATCTTGACATATTTGCGTGCATGTTTAATAGTACCACTAGACCGCTAAATTTGTTCCATAAAAGTGTTATGATTAATTATAACACTTGCGGGTTTGACTGATTTTTTAAATCAGGAGTAATGCACAAAATTTTATATGAGTGTTTTAGTGCACTAAACCCCTTTAATTTATAATAATAATAATAATAGCCTGCCACATCCTCGCACAGGAACACTACCCCTCTACATATTTCTATGCATAAGAAGTATTAAAGAATTTGAATACTGTTTTAGAGAGAAAAATAAGTGATCAGATTAAAATAAGGCAAAAGAGGGAAACATACAATATTGGTTATATGCAAAAAAAAAGTAAATACAGTCTGACGGGGAGTACCACAGTGCCGTTGGGAGGTTTGGAATCGGCAGCATTGGGGTTGTTTTTCTCTTGGTTCTTGGCGTCAAATTCGGAACTGTCCAAAGATTGAGCTTTCAAAACGAGACTTCCCGGGAAATTTGTTTTCCCATGGATGCTAGCCGATTGAAAGAGGCGATCTTTACGGAGCAAAACAAGAATCGGAGGTGAGGAATTCGACGAAGGTGAATAACGCAAAGATTGAATCGAGAACAAGGGTTTCAACGTTAACGAGGACATTCCAAATTTTCTTGGAAATTCTGGTGGATACTCTTGTTCTTTTGTTTGACCAATCTATGAGGCTTTTATCTCGAAAACATGAGTTTTGGGAAACACTTTCATTACTTCTTGACAAAAATAGGATCCTATCCTATATTTAGTTGCTTAGGACCCTACGAGTCCTACTTTAGGAAACTTTTAGGAACATTTACCCTTTGTCCAGTTAACGACTTGAGTTTCCACGTAATACTTTTTTCGGCTTATCAGGCTTATCAGCCAGCTTTTTCATCAAACACATAATTTTTGCTTTCGCGCGCTGAATTGTGTAATAAGCAAAAAAAGTAAGGATAGAGTTACTTTTCTGGCTGTATTGGCTGAAGTTACTGTAGACGATCATTTTAGTTATTTTTACATATAATTTTTTCCTTATTTTATTAATAAAATATATTTTAAAATTATTTTTTTCTTAAATCTGCAGAATCAGCCAATGCAGCCACTTCAGCCAGAACTTCATAAATTTCAGCAGAATCAGCCAAATCAGCCGATTTTCGTGCTACCAAACAGGCTCAATATCTAGGGTGGGTATAAAACCCGAACCGAACCGTTGTCGAACCGTCCCGTAATGGTACCGAATCGAATATCGGGTATTTAAACGGTTCTATAGATTTTATCCCGTATCAAAACCGTACCGTTTGAAACGGGTACGGGACCAGTCCTAGATTTTGAGAACCGAAAAATACCGGACCGAACCGTTCGAAAATAATGCTTTTGAATTTTTTATAATTTTTCTATACCAATACATCTCTTTTATAGATCAACAATTTTATAGTCCAAATATGTATTCATTTGTTCCTAATATATCTAAATGTGTGTTTATATATATACAAGTATATTGTTATTTTTTCTTTTTAGATAATTTATGTTATACTTTGGTATGTATTGAAAGAATATTAAAATTTTAGAAATCATTAATGACTATTCATTTCTAGTAATGTAATGTTCATGACTTTTTGTTGTATCCTCTTTGTGCAATTTTTACAACTTAATTAGTATGGTTTAAATCTTATAAGAACTAAGGAGTAATATTTAACCTAGAACGAAGAAGAAGAACGTTGAATATTTCTATTGTATTCAACAATTTGATGATATTCGTTTTTATATTTTCACATTAACTTAGTAAACTAAAGATGATATTTATCTCGTGCGTCATCGTTTTGCTATACTTTTTCTTAGTTATGTTGCATTATTTGTGTATTTGTGAATATTAGTACTACGTATGCAATTTCTTGTATTTATATCAACATTTCATGCGAGTTGGTTGGTGTGATGATATCTACTAATTGCAAGTTTTGTTCAAATTTTTTTAGCATGCGTTTGGCATTGTACCAAACCGTTTTGTACCGTTCTGAAACGACATTGGTTGAATCATGCCCTCCTTTAGTTGTTGTTAATGATGATAATATTTTGAAATTTTACCTTGCGTTTAAGAAACTACGGCCTGATAATGCGAAGCATCCCTTATGTGTTGAATCATGCCATGTTTCCACTTATAATCAGGCTTACTGCTCTTCTACAGCTCCTGCAATTGATTTAAATGCTTCTCCACTTGATGAACATGACCAATTACTCTTACAATCAGTTTCATCTCCTTTGCATGAGGGTAATTCTTTTGAGTTTTATGCTACCAATGATGACATTTCAGTGGATTGTGAAGATACACCTCTTTTGCCTACACCTTCATCTTCATCTCCTATCACTGAAGATGTTGATGTTAGTCTAGAGTTTGAATTACTCGGTGTTTCTGATTTCCAAGATATTGAAGTAATCCCTTGTTTTAATTCGACACATATAGCTAGAGAGTGTATTTACAATGACAAAAAGGCATTGAATTTCCATTTGAAAATGCATGTTATTTCAAATCTTTTCCAAATATAAGACGAGGGCATCAAATAGAAAAGTATTGCATGTTGTTTGCCTCAATGATCATTGTACTTGGTCTATTCATGCAGTGAGGTTGGGTGGTTGTCAAATGTTCAAATAAGAAGGTAATTTGATCATTTATTTCATTGCCCTTTCATTAATTTGTTTTATGTATTATTATTACTATATATTGTCTGTTTAATGTGTTATTACTATATGCTTCCTTTTCAGGTTTGATAGTATTCATATATGCTCTCTTGATTTTAGACAAGGTCCCCATCGTCAAGCGACGTGTGATATAACTGCGGATTTGATTAAAAGTCGATATGCTGATGCTTCAAGAAAATTGTATGCTCCAAATGATATCATTGTTGATATGATTCATACTTATGGTATTGCTTTGCCATACAAAAAAACATGGAATGCAAATAGAAAAGCTCAACAAAAGTTGATAGGTTCAAATGGGGAATCATATCAGTTGTTACAGACCCTTGCTTATGTTTTGAAAGAGAAGCATCATGGTTCAGTGATCAACTTAGGTATTGATGCCAATGATCGTTTTATGTCTTTTTCATGACATTAGATGGGTGGATTCAAGCCTAGAATCCTTGTTTTCCTGTCCTTATCATTCATGGATCATTTATGAAAGCATATTATAAATGGAATCTACTAACCACTTGTGCTCAAGATGCTAACAAGCATATATTTCCTCTAGCTTTTGGCGTTTGCGACACCGAGCGAAGGATAACATGGACTTGGTTTTTAAAGAAAAATAAAGGAGTGTCTCGCATTCAGGAATGATTTATACATTGTTTCAGACCGTCATATGGGTATTCTTCATGCAGCAAAGACAGTTTTTCCACGTGCTAAGCATGGGTACTGTGTGTTCGACCTGTTTGGAAATATCAGGTCAAAGTTCAAGGGTTGTACCAATGGTCTTTCATGGAAATTTAACCAGGCTACTAGGGTTGCCACATCTGCTCAACTGGAGAGTTTCTTGGTGTTATTAAATGATCAAGATCATCGTATCCGTGCCTATTTGTATGGCATATGTGTTCAAAAATGGGCACGTTGTTACTCTACTTTCCCTCGAAACTCTATAATGACATCCAATAATGCAGAGGCAGTTAATTCAGTGGACTGTGTTCCTCGTGAGTACCCCATAGCAAAGTTGATTGATTTTTTGAGTGAAAGGATGCAAAAGTGGTTCGTTGAACGTCGTGATGCATCATCAGTCAATAAAACAGTTCTTTCTGAGCACTTTGAGTCCCAACTTAGTGATTACCATGCAGCAGCAGCACTTATGATTGTAAATGTATTACTTTTTCCTTGTAAACTCATTTTTAAGTATTGCTTCTTCTCAACTTGTCATTTTATTTTTTATGCTAGTTTATTTTAATATTTTGTATCATATTATAGGTTAAGCCAGCTACTCAGTTTGAGTTTGAGGTGGTGGCCACAACTTCTAGAAGCAATGTTGATGATCTGAAGGCCAAAACATGCTCATGTTCTGAGTTTCAACTTGAGCAGTTCATATGTGTTCATGGTGTTGCTGTTGTGTGCAATTGTCTTCACCTTCCCCTTGAATAATTGTTGTAAGACATTCATTTTTCAATTTTATTGTTCTTTAGTGTCATCATTGTCATGGTGTTTTATCATTATCAACTTGGTGTTTTTTGTTATTTTTTGACAATTATGTTGTTGTAATGTTTGTTTTTCTACTGAAGACCCCTGGATAAAAAGGTTTTTATAATGCTAATTATAGTTTAGTTATTGTCTAATTAATGTCTCTTTAATGTCTACTTAATGCCACTGTTATTTGTTTATAATTACTGCTACTACCTACTCCTATTATCTTGTTATGCTTAGTTGTACCCTTTTTAGTATTCCATTTTCATTAAACAACACCATTGTATTGTGTGACTGTGTGTTAGTAGTCACATTCATAAACTATCAAAATGAAGTCAAGTTCAATTAGTGCATGTTTATTAACTTTTTATTGAATGCTAGTTTTGATTAAAGAAAATTTTTATAAAGGAATGTTTTTTTGTGTGTCCACCTTTAGGAACTTGTATCAAATTATACATTGGTAAAATTACTATCATGGTTATAGTACATTGTTGTACTGTTTTTTGTTCTAACTTTACATTCAGTCATTTAATGTGTATGGTCATGCCATTAAAGACTACGTATTACCTACTTATTATCTTCGTTAGAGATTTGATGCATACATTACAAATGAGGTCAAGAATAAACAAAACGAACAAGCATTTGTTTTTTGTGTTCACCTTTAACAACTTTTATCATATTATACATTGGTTACACTACAATGTTGTACTGCTTTTTCTAACTTTACATTCAGTCATTTAATGTGTATGGTTGTGACATTCAAGACTAGTGTTAGTCCCTGTTCTTTAACAATCAAACAATCGTAGAAGATAAAGAAGAAGCAGATAGAAAGATATCTAGATGAAACCAAATATGGTATACCGTGATAATGGTCGCTGCTCTCCTTCGAGAAGGAGAGCAGCGGAAAACCTACTCTCTATCTCGCCTCTATGATTTCAAGCCTTGAATACTTAGGGTTTCCATAAGTTAGCCTCCTTTTATAGGAGAAGTTGGCTAACTTATGGATTACAAAGAAGCTAATGGGCTGATATACATTTGTGGCCCATATCACACGTTTAACTAATAACTACACAAATACAAAGATATTTAATTAGATTGGACACCATAAAATATTCCTAACAATCTCCCTTTTGGTGTTCAATCGTGTTGAATCAGCATTGCAACGCATATATCTTTGGTTGTGTTGTTATTAAGCTTCCTTTATCTTTGAACTTGACTTCTTGAGAAGGCTTTCTGAAGAAATCCTTGCAATCTCCCATTTGATGTCTTCTTGGAAATTTGAGCTTTGATGTCGGGGGTTGAGGAATCTTCCTTTAGCTTGCTTGTAAACCTTGCCTTCAAAAGTAGCTCTTGATTATCTTGAATGAAGTCCGGTGGCGCATCTAGAATGAATGTTTTTGAAGAATTGCAGACGCACATGGAAATCATCTTCAGAATTCGAGTAAGTGACCTTTGTCTCCTCTACAATGTAGTCTTTTTTACTATTTGGAATGAATGCGTTTGAAGAGAACTTGTCGGTGGCACAGCGGAACATAATGATTGACATGTGAGCATAGCTGACCATTTGATTTGAAGCTTTTGATGGAGATAGGATAGAAATGTCCCAGAATGATTTGTTGAGAGTCAACAG